GGGCCACTGCACTCCAGCCTGAGTGACAGGGTGAGACCCTGTGTCAAAAGGAAAAAAAAAAAGAGGCTTCTGGTTTGGGGCCCGTCAGCTGAGTCAGGCAGGCAGCAGATGTTTCCTCAATGTCTGTTTTTCCCCAGCTGGAGATGCAGGAGAAAAGGGCAGGAGGGTATCTCCCTACAGGAGTTTCGAGGGGAAGAGAGTATTATTCATCAGCCCTTTAGATGCAGTGCCATCAGAGGTAATCTCTGCCTCCAGAACATTGCCCTTGACCCATGACATCCACAGCAGCCCACTGGGGCCAGGAGTTTGTGACACAGAAAAGGACAAAGAGATAAAATTCTAATCCAAACAGAACATGTCCAATAGAAATAACATTTAAACAGCACTTTCTTCATGCTGGAGATTGTAAAAATTTGACTCGCTCATTAAATCTTTCTCATTTTGCAATTGAGGAAACCAAGGCACAGAAGGGTTAAGTGACTTGGTCAAGGTCACACAGCCAGGAAAGGGGAAGAGTTGGAATTTGAAGCCAAGCTGGCCCCTCTTGCCAGAGTCCTTGTTTTTGCCATGTTTTAAGTTAAGGTGAAATTGACATAATATAGCCAGGCCTGGTGGCTCATGCTTGTAATCTCTGGGAGGCCAAAGTGGGAGGATCACTTGAGCTGAGGAGTTCGAGATCAGCCTGGGCAACATAGTCAGGCCTCATCTTTAAAAAAAGAAAAGGCGGGTCGAAGTGGCTCACAGCTGTAATCCCAGCACTTTGGGAGGCCAAGACAGGCAAATCACTTGAGGTCAGCAGTTCGAGACCAGGCTGGTCAACAGGGTGAAACCCTGTCTCTACTAAAATATAAAAATTAGCCAGGCATGGTGGCGGGGGCCTATAATCCCAACTACTCGGGAGGCTGAAGCAGGAGAATTGTTTGAACCTAGGAGTCAGAGGTTGCAGTAACCTGAGTTAGATTGCGCCCCTGCACTCCGGCCTGGGTGATGGAGTGAGATTCCATCTTTTTTTTTTT